TTACTATTATATCCCTTGGAGAGGGTCCTTTTGCATTGATGTAATCAGGAGTTCTATTGGCTTTGTATACTTGTAAGTGCAGTTCTTTCCCAGGTTTGGGAAGTTCTCAGTTATTATTTCGTTGTACAAGCTCTCTGCTCCTTTCTCCCTCTCTTCTGCTTCTGGAATACCTATAATCCTTATGTTGATTTTCCTAATTGAGTCAAGATATTTCTCAAAGAATTTCTTCATTTTTAAAAAATCCTAGTTCTCTCTTCCTCCACCTGAAGCATTTCTAGATTCCTGTCCTCTAATTCACTAATTCTGTCCTCCATAACATCAGCTCTATTTTTCATGGTTTCTAGATTATTTTATCTGTGTTCTTCAAATCCAGAATTTCTGTATAATTCTTTTTTTAAGGGCTTCAATCTCTTTGGTGAATCCTTCTGCTCATTAATTTTATTCCTGAGCTCATTGCACTGAGTTTTCTTGTGACTCATTGAGTTTCTTTATGACAACTATTTTATTTTATTTTTTATAATTTTTTATTTATTTTTTTCCCCCAAAGCCCCAGTAGATAGTTGTATGTCGTAGTTGCACATCCTTCTAGTTGCTGTATGTGGGACACGGCCTCAGCATGGCCAGACAAGTGGTGCATTGGTGCGCGCCCGGGATCCCAACCCGGGCCGCCAGCAGCAGAGCGCACGCACTTAACCACTAAGCCACGGGGCCGGCCCAATGACAACTATTTTAAATCCTCTGTCATTTAGGTTGTAAATCTCGGTGACTTCAGGATTGGTTTCTGGAGACTTGTCCTTTTCCTTCTGCCCTGAGGTGTTACTGTAGTTCTTCCTGGTATTTGATGCACTGATCCTTTGCCAGCACATCTGTGGTAGTATCAGGTTGCAGATTCCACCTGCCACCACTGAGGGGGGAGCAAAAGTTGTTTCTGACCCCGCCCCTTCTGCTCAACGTTGTGTGGGTACAGCTGCATTGGCGTGGGCTGGCTGCAGCCCCTTGGTGGGTCACTCTCATGGAAGCAGGGCCTCTGTGCTCAGCAGGCGGGTTGTGCCCACACAGGCCATCACTGTGCTCGTGGGTGGTTTGGATGAGTCACTGCCCTTGGTGGGTTGGGCAGCTTCACAGGGGCTGAGCTGCCACCAGTCACCACTCTGTGGGGAGCACTTCCATGGGAGGGGCCACCATGGCACGGTGGGCACTCCCACAGGCCGGGCTACCACTCCAAAAGCACTTATGAGCGCAGGCCGGGCTGCCCTCGCCTCCTTATACTGTCACACCAGCTGCTGTGTGAGGCTCCATGACCTGGTTTGCTGCTGCTGGGGAAGAGGAAGGGTGGGCTCACCTAGTTCCACTGCTTCCCAGAGATCCAGTCCCCCTTCCTCCAGATGCACGGCTGCCTGGATCTCCCAGGCATCCTGTTGTACTGTGTGAGAATCCTCTTGGTTAACGAATGTCTGTTTAGTTTTAACTTAGAGGGGAGAGACAAAGGGAACAGCTCACTCCACTATGATGCTGACATCACCTCCTCCAAGAAGTTCTTAAAGCAGGATCAGAGAAGATACCTATGTTTTTGAAAAATATTTCACTTATAATTTCAACTACATTTTCTACATCAAAAGTTCCCAAGTTTCAGGACCTTTAAAACAGAGTTGTTTTTTTGCATATTGTGTGAGGAAGAGATCCAATTTTATATTTTCCTTTCTCTTTTTTTGTTGGCTCCATGAACTTAGTCCTTTCTATCATTGATCTACCATGCCTTCCCTGACAATATGAAATTTACATATTATGTGCGGGCCTGCTTTGGGGCTGTTTTATCCCATTGGCCATTTTGTCTATTTCTGCACTAATGTCATACTCTCTTGAATACTTCAGTATCATAAAAAGTCCTCCCGGTAGGATAAATCCTCCCTCCTTTCCTTTTCTTCAGAAGAGCCTTAGTCATTATTCATCCTTTATTCTGCCACATAAATTTCAATCAGTCTGTCAGTTCCAGGAGAAACACTCAGTTTGGAGATGCACTAAATCTATGTATCTAGGTGGAGAGAAGTGACATTTCTTTTATTGTCTTTCTACTCATGAATGTAGGATCACTCTAATCCTCTTCAATGTCTTTTAGTAAAGTTTTATAACTTTCTGCATATAGGTCTGGCACATCTTTGGTTAGATTTATTACTAGGCACTTGAGAATTGCTTTTGCAATTGTTTGGCATCTTTTTAAAATTCTACTTTCTAATTGTGTCTGTATATAAGTGCAATTCACAATTATATACTGATCCTATATTTAGCTTACTAAACTCTCCACTTGTGTCTAATATTTGCTGGAAGGCGTTTTTGGATTTCCTATGTAGATACTGACATCACCTGCAAATAATGATGGTCTTTCTCCTTTCCAATCATTATACATCATTCTCTCATCTTGCTGCACTGCCTAACATTTATAGTACAATCTTGAATAAAAGTGAGGACAGTGATCATCTTTGTCCCATTGTTGATTTTAAAGAGAACACTTCTGATGTTTCTCCCCTTAGGATGGTATTTATTACAGGATTTTTAAAGATATTCTTTATCAAGTTGCAAAGTACTCTTCCACTTATAGATTACTAAAAGTTATCACTAATGGGTATCTTTATCAAATGTTTTTCTGCATCTATTTATCAGTTTTTTGCTTTTGTTCTGTCAATGTGGTGAATGAGATTTACAAATTTGCTACAACCATTTTTACACTCCTGGGATGAGCACCACTCAGTCAGCATGTGAGCATCAGTTTGCTTTTACACACATGTTCACGACACCACAGGCCTATAGTCTTCCCTTCCTGTATGGTCCCTGTCTGGTTTTACTATCCACATTATATGGGGTTTTGATGTAGGAGACATACCTTATTCTATTCCCTGGAAGAATTTAAACAAGATTAGAATAACCCATTCTTTAAAAAGTTTGGTGAAACTATCTATGTATGCCTAGAGCTTGAATTTTTAACTGTTCCCTTTCTTTTAATATTAATAGTACTGCTCAGGCTTCTGATTTCTTCTTAAAATAAAACATTTTTCTAGGAATTTTTCCCTTTTCCCTAAATTTTCAAATGTATTGCAGTATTTTTAATATTAGTGTACTTACTATCTGCAGTATCTGTAGTGACAAACCCTTTTCATTCCCAAAATGGGTTACTCGTGCATTTCCTTTTTCTCCATGATAAACTTGACAAAAATTTTTGTCTATTCATTCATCTTTTCAGTCAGCTAACAGCTTGCTGATCCTCTAGTGCATTCTTGATTTCTACTTCCACTCGACCTCCTCCTGTACCTTGTTCTTCTGTGACACCTCCAATCGGGCCCTGAGCTCATTTAAAAAATATAAATAAGGATTTAAAGCTATAAAATTTCTCTTGAAGCACTACTTTCTCTGCATCCTTATGAGTTTGAATATTTATCATTAGTCAGCCTTTAGTATTTTAAAACTTCAATTATTTCTATTTTTTTTTATCTTAAGTTTTCTTGAACTCAATTTTTTGCATACGTAGTACCCATCTCTATCCCTAACAATGTTTTTGTCTTAATGTCTGTTTTGTCTGATACGAGTATAACCACACTGGCTTTCTTTTGGTATTTTTCTGGTATCTTTTTTCCTGTCTTTTACTTCACCCTTCCCATGCCCTTATGTTTTATATATAAATATTGTAAATTTTAATCCAATTTGACTATCTTTTCACTGGTGAGTTTCTCTCATCTTACTGTTTTAATTCCATATCACACTATTTTTTTTTCCTGTTTTCACTTTTAATTGATATCTCTCCATCCCCTCTAACAAGACAAGAACTTTAATGTATCCTGTGCTCTCCAGTCTCTTCCCACTCCCACTGTTGATATCGTAAAGAACTTTAGTTCTAGATTATTGTGGATACACTTTCTGTTACTTTCTTTAGCCTTCCTTTTTTTCTTTTAAAGTGATCAACAAATTTTCCCTAAGTATGTGATCATTCTTCTTCCCAAATCTCTCACAACATCTCCTAGATTTCTCTTTTTATTTAAGTACTTCTCTAAAAGTGTTTTTAATTTGCATCTTTGTGTGGAAAATCTTCTGAAGCTCTGAAAGTCTGAGAATATTTTTTATTAAGCCCTCACATTAGAATAACTACCTATCAGGACATAAAACTCTAGTTTCAAAGTTCTTTTCACGTTCCATTTCAGATTCTCGAGCTGGGCATGGTAACGACAGTTTCCACCACACCACACCATTCTCAAATGTCCACTGTACATGAACTCCCACCGATCCTGGTGACTGAGTCTTCTACACATAAGGTTGACCAAACCTTTGAGACAGGATTGAAAACCTGCCATCTTCAGAAAACCAGCCCTCTCAGACACTGCTGCTGTGAAAATAAATTGGTTCAACTTTTCTAGAGGTCAATTTGGCAACGTAGATCAAATAGTTTAAAACACTCATATACCTTGCTTGACCCAACAACTTTACTTCTAGGCATCTATATGAAGGAAATAACCCAACAATGTTCAGAGAAGTACGCACAAGGACACTGACCCAGCATTATGATGTAAAAAAATGTAAAACAACCTCATCTCCAAACACAATTAGTATAATGTTAACATCCTATAGTCAAAACCTTGAAGTGATTAAGATGTGTAGAAAAATATTTAAGTTAAAAAAGTCTACATTTTTTTTCAGAAATATGCATATGTAGGTAGAAAATATCTGAAAGCTGAAAGGCTATTTTTCAAAAGTTATTAACAGCAGCTTTCTCCAGATGCAGAGATTGAAGCAGTTTCTCATTTCTCCTTTTTGCTTGTTTTAAATAAAAATGTTTTTGAAGCCCAATATATAAAAAAGACAACAAGAGAGCCATTCTAGTGGGGATGGAAGCTGACCCCATCCACTCAGCCTTCTTCCTTGCCTCTCTCAGGATGCTATGCAGGTTGAAAACTACAATTCCAAACACTCAGCTGGACCCTATTTGCCATGTTGGAGCTAGAAGAGAAAGCCAAACACACTCAAACATTCATTTATTTATTTAGCTTTTTTTTGCAACTATAAATTACAATCACTAGTAATTACCTGTAGTTCTTTATAGTGTGCTCAACTAAAGAATAAGCAAACACAGCATAGGTCAATTTAAAAGAAATCACAGTACTTCTTAGTGTAATTAGCAAAAGAGGGAAAAAGTCTTGGGCCCACTCCTTGGAAACAAATATCAAGTAACCATAAAAAGATTCAGCCATTTTCCAGATATTCAAGGAGGTTCATGTATGGTCCCAGGCAGAGCATCAGAGTTCCTCTTTGAAATACCCCAGCTTTGCCAATGACATCTCTTTTCTCAACTGCATAACTTCCCAAAACATCTGATCAACTATAAAAACAAAAAAAAGAGATGCATAAATCATAAAATACCATCTTATTTTTAATCTGTTTCACTGAAAATTTAAGATTAGCTGAAATGCCACTTGGACATTTCCTAATGATGTATGTAATGTCTCCACATTCTATTGCTATTTCACACAAACTTTTTCATGTATTTGTGTGGATCCCAGTTTTATCAGTAAACAGGCAATATTCACCAGTTTTGCCACAACTACAGTCAGACATCACTTAACAATGGGGAGACATTCTGAGAAATGCATTGTTAGGCGATTTTGTTGTTGTGCGAACATCACAGGGTGTACTTACACAACCGTAGATGGTACAGCCTACACCTAGGCTGTATGGTACTAATCTTATGGGACGACCATCACATATGTGGTCCACTGCTGACCAAAACACTACTATGTGGTGCATGACTGTGTTGTTAGGTACATCAGTGATTATCACTTTAGCCCAACAGAAGCTAGACATTTCAGTGTCCTGGGTAAATGGCAATGCTGTTGCCTTCATAAGTAATTTCACTCAATGTTCAATTACTCAAGAGTTATTATCTAACTTATAGATCTTCTTGCTCTAGTTTGCTACATCTTCACCTTTCACTCTTAATGAACACTAACAGAGAGTAAACAGGAAAAAAAGGAAAAGAAGAGACAGTCCAGGAACTCAGTAACATTCTTTGTAATAACAGAGAAAGGTTTTGTGTGTGGCGCAAATTAGATTTCTAATTTAAAAATAAATGTAGAGGATGACCTGTAAATTTTAATTATCTTTACTTTTACAAGCCCTCAATAAGAGGGAAAAGTTGGCTCTATATGTCAGACAATAAAAGGTCTTCCTCTGACATCTGATCAGATTAGATTGATTTATATCAGTGGTTCTCAACCGGGGGAGATTCTGTTCCCAAGGGTACATCTGGCAACATCTGGACACACTTTTCATTCTGGCATCTACTGAGTAGAGCCCAGGGATGCTGTGAAGCATCTCACGATGCACAAAGCCCCCACAACGAAGAATTATCCAGTTCAAAGTGCCAACAGCACCACGGCTGAGAAACCTGTTTTAGATTCAGCTGCCCTAAATCCTTGTTGGCACAAGGCACAGATAATAAATATTACTAATTTTAAAATCTGTTTATTTACTACAAACCCACACAGTATATGATGTGTATCAAGTACTGTGAAGTGGAAGAGGGACAGAAACCAGAGAAGACACCACTTGATCACCAGCTCTACACTCATGACAATTTCTCCCTATTTTCATAAAGTAAATTATCTTTCAGTCTTCCCTACAAAATTTCTTATTTTAACAAGGAGAAAAACATGCTTGACAATGTAACCTAACATAAATCACCTGTTCTCCAGCTAAAATCCTATTACTCACTGACAGGTATTCAAAGATTTCAGTTTTACTAAAGTCACAGAAAGCACTGTACAGTTTAAAGACTCCTTTTAGCTACATGGCCTTTTGAAATTCAACATTAATTACAGACAAGTTTCATCCCCATTCTTTCAGGCACTAAAATCTAATCATATGGGATTCTAGGTAAATATGACCATTTTCAACATAACAGTGCTTGAGAAATGCTAAATTAAGTTTTCATCAGCATGACTCCTTTTTCCGCAGATTTAAGACTCACTGGTTTACACGACTGAAAGACAGCAGCTTCCACTAGCTTGTAAGTATAAGAGTATTTTCAGTGCCTAAAAAAACACTATCAACAGGAAATTTTCCACAACTTCAAACAGGAAATTGGCAAGGACTTGTCCCTAGCCCAGGACGTGTGGTTTCTGGTTCAGAACAAGCACGCGTCCTCAAGAAACACTGCTCCAGGGCTGTGAGGCCACATTCACCTCGTGCCTGGTATTTATGACATTTGCTATAAAACCATCAGTAATCACACAATACGAAAATTATCAAAACAGTTGCATGAGGCTGGCTCTCCTGGGTATATCACCTGTTGATTTAGAATACAGTAATTTAGATTTAGAATATAGCAATCTTTATTCCACTCAGAATTATCCTCATGACTGCTTCATTAATTCACAGGTCAAAGTAGAAAATACAGAAAAAAACTTATTGTTAGCTCCCCATGGTTTCCACCAATTAGAATAAATCTGGCCAAGCCTAGAGCTTGCTCACTTTTATTTCTTAAGGAGTAAATTCAACGAGCTTTGTTCTCCCCTCACATTTACCATCTGGTTTATCACATACCCCTGAAGAGTTAAAAGTGACCCTGCTTAAAAATCAAAATTAGAGTAAATGAGGCAAATATAAGGACTAAATACAATATGTTTTAAAAGAGATATTTGCTCCCAAATTCTCCACACATTTTATCAGAACTTTAAAAGAGATTCAATGTAAATGTACCAATAATCAACTTTATTTGAGCATCACTACTATGCTCTAAACTTTTATGTAAATATTTTATAAAGAACACTCACCATCCTGCTGTTTCACGAGTCCCTGCTGAATATATCGAATGTACGTAAAAAAGTTACACACAGACGCGATCTAGGCCAAAAGGAAAACATGTCATCAATATGAGTTCAACGCCTCATATCAGAGCGAGCTTTCAGAATCCACAGTTAAGCTACTTACCCTGTATCTGCAAAAAGGAGAAATATAATAATAGCTGCTTGAGTCCCCTAACTTAATTCTGTGTTTACAGGACTTACTCTGGCCAGTGAGAGCACATTTTCTGTAAAATAATGATAAAATTTAGTTTTTTTAAATTAGAAGCATTTGCCCTCCCTTCTGTACAAAGCATATATCCATTCAGTAAGAAAACAGGTGGAGAAGCATGTCCCGGGTCTGTCTAGATGTTGGGCCACAGTGCTGACAAAGACAAGGCCCCTGCCCTTCGGGGCTGACATCCTAGGATAAGCCTAACAGCACAACCTTAACCATGGTTCTAGAAAGAGACGCTGATGTTCTCAGTATGTCCCATCCTGGAGCTAACGCAACACGCGTAATCAGCTGCAGGGCAGCTCAGCTCAGCTCAGTCAGGACTTCAACTTCTCAGCTGAGAAAAAACCTAACGATGGTTGTTCAAGTCTCAACACATGTTACTAATAGCACGCAGGACAACAGCTTCCAGGTGGGGTACTTTCCGGTGTGTTTGGTTGATTTCTATGCATATTAATAAGGTGGCACCTCGGCCTGAGCAACACAAAAGAATAAGCCACCTTACAAAAAGACTGAACCCTAGCTATTATATGAAGGAGTCACTACATTTAGACACAGCACCCTTCCTCTCTGCACACTGTAAAACCTAAAACTTGGTAGGAGAGCTTTCTGGCTGGAATTCTGTCTAATTTTGAAAGGGCTCTGCTGAAGTGGTTTCAAGTGTCAGCTGTTACACTAACAAAAAGTGTGTAAGTTATCTCATTTCTAAAGCCATTATAACTGTCACACCCAAAGTGTTTTCATTGGACCTACGACTCAATGCCGAGTCTTCTGACCTCTAACTCCGTTGTTGTGTTTTTTTGTTTTTTTACATGCTACCCTCCCCCAACCCCTCTCAGCAGCTCTAGTCCCAGGACTTCAAATCCTTGCTTGTCATTTCCACTTGGGGATGTCAACATTTCTAAATCTAGACCCATCATCGCCCCCAAACCAGAGCCTTCCTACTCAGTTCCACAACGTCACATCACTCTTCCAGTCAGTCACCTCTAACCCCCTTCTCTTTCACCATTTCCCACCGAATCTAATCTTCTCCTAACTTTTCTTTCCTAAGACTTGTCATATCTCCCCTCTCCACACTCACGTCCTCTGAACACACTTCAGTCACACGCGCTGTCCTTCACCTATCCAAATTCCACCTGTGCTTCAAAAACCCAGATCACACCTCCCCCGCCCACCAAGGACAGCCTGTGGCCACCACCACTGGACTGATCTCGTCTTCCTCAAAACTCCCACAGCACTGTGCCATTCATTTCACGATTACTTCATAACCTCGTCCACAGGAGCCTGGGCCAGGGCCATATTCACATCTCACGAAAGGAGACAACATCGTCCTTAAATTTTCTCCACGCAACATGTACCACAAACACCCTGGCTTCTGGCCCCATTCCCACAAGCACGATATCCCTAAACCTCATCTATATAATCATTTTACTAAAATACTACATAAATCCACTTTAACTGATATCCTCATTTGTCATCAGTTGATGATATTTGCACATGTATAATATGTGTGATATGTAATGCGAGCACGAATTTAAAATCCTCCAATAAAAAGTGCCATATGCTATATTTAAAATAAGATATAACACAAAGTATGAAAACTGCTAATTTAATGATCAGGATAAAAATACTCAGGTGTTTGTTGAAGGCAAAGAATTTAGGAATGTCAATCCCTTCTCCAAAATTCAGAGGTCACGTGCTACAGGTGTGGCACAGGAGGAGTGTAAAGCAGGACACAACTCTCGGTGGGCGTGTGGCTCACGAGCAAACACAGGACTAAGTCACCTCCACAAATGGTCACCAAATACCAGCGCTGTGTGAGCCTGCTGAGAAAGCAATGTGTCCAACAGGAAACAGGAACGACCCTACCTCCTCACAGGCTTTCACACAGACCTACTGGTTCATCTCAACCAGCCCTCTCCTCTTCTGTCTTCAGGAGGACCCTGCCTGTCCCCTACTGCCTCCTACGGGCTCTCTCGGGCTTTCCAGTCCCCTATATTGATCTACTTCTTAACCGCCAACTGAGCAACTTCCTCAAAATCTTTCCAAGTCACTTTTCAAACAGCCATGCCAAAGGTTGTAGGTACTGTGGGTTTCAGTTTTTCATCCTCCTAGGACTGGATGGAAAAAAGCCTGTCCTGCTATGAAATGTGGGAGTCTCATCACTGAAGGCTTATAATTGCCGAACCTCTCTCACATATGGAAGACAGAACTGACTATTCACCAAAGTGAGAACATTTCACAATGTCAGGATGAGAGGAGAGGACCAATCACCCCTGACAAGAACTGGTCTCATTCTCTGTCTCCCCAAACTGTTTCTGGCAGAACCGAGGAAACCCAGGACACACAGCTGTATACATGTACGCAACACAAAAAGTCTGCTTATGACTCACTAACGTGATTCATGATCAACTGGTGGGTCACGACACGTGGTTAAAGAAAAAACACGTTTCTACACCTGGTCTCCCTGGATCCCTAACACATACGTATGTTTTTGTAATTAAAAGGGCTCTCCTTTGGTGCTAATTTGAAATGCTATATCCCACACTGTCTGGGCTGCACAGGCTCTAAATAGAAAACTAAGATATTTAACCACATTTAAAACTAGAAAGACAAATGACTACAACACAAAATTTTATAAACTCAGTTTCCTCCACAAGACTCGGTTCTGAAGACTCACTTTGGGCCTCCACACTCGACGGCAGAGGCTTTCACGAATCGAACGGGCTGTAAGCCCACCGGCTCAATGCTCAGAGTGTTGTTTTCCACAGCCTCCAAGACCGCCGAAGCCAACTGCACAAAAATGAAAAGCATTAGACACTAGGCTGGCAGAAAAATATCAAATTTGTATTCTACAGTAAACTGATTTTTAAAGTTATTCTTTCTCCAAGTTCCACTAGCTTGGCCTTAGCTAACAAAAAAGAAAGAAACCACATAATCTCAGTTTGAGTTCTTTCATAATTCAAACATTGTTATGAAAGGCAATTCAGTTACAGCTAAATAACTTTCATCCTTGTCTGGAAGAAGATTAGAGGCATTAATTCCAGTCTCTGCCTATCCCTTACCCACAATTAACATCCACTGTTAATGCCACTAAGAGATAAATATCCTAAAGCTTTACTTTGCTAAACGCATGCAATGTCTCTAATACTGGTCATTCATAACACAAAAGTATATTAATTATAACTATACATTTTCTGAACTCATATTTATGTGCACAAGAGTGAGTCTACAGAAGAATTAACTAATTAACTGCATTATCCAATATTAAATGCCCAGACAGAGCTAGAAGCAACAATAAACAACAGATGAGAAGATGAAGATGAAGTACACTACTTCAGTCTGGCGGGACGACCGGTTCCGAATGGCCTGAACCGGGCGGAGCCGCGGTGAACACACGTCCACACCCCAAGTGCCCACTGCTCACCCTAATCCTCCCCACGAGCTAGGTTACGACCAAATCCTCTGAGGACTCAACGTAAGACTCGCAGGTTAAATATCCTAAATGTTGAATGACAGGATACTTGTAGACAAACCTTCCAGACGTAAGAACAAATTAAAATTATGACCTTAAAAAAACTTTTAAAAACTATAAGGCACTACCCAAATGCATCTACGTAATTCACTTCATTTTATCCTCTTAACCCTGTGACACAGGCAAGTAAGGCATTTTTTCTAGTTTTAAAGATGAAGAAACTAAATATGATTTTTACCACGCATGGTTGAACCCAGCCAACACCTCAGAGCATCCAGAACCTCCCGGACGCTGACCCTCGAGCTGAGAATCAAGACCAAGCCCCACCCAGCACATATTTAATATTTCACTCAGCACAACACACACCGCAGTATGAACGACCCTCTGCTCAAAGAAGGAAATTAAGACGAAATTATGATGCTCCCAATGTGGAGTGGAGAAAACGGTAGAACACAACATTTTATAATGACTTATTTATGTAGGAGATATCAAAATACATAACATGATTTATTAAAAGGTACAGGAACAACTCTAATGCATTCCTATTAAAATTCTTTAAAAATTACCTCACTTTTTGAGAATGTTAAACATGGAAAGACATCTTCCTGGTAGATTTTGTCTAGGAAAGGACATGTTCTGTCCATTGTGGGCTCGTCCTTCCAAGATCTGAATTCATTATACAGAGACAAGTCAGCCTGACAAACAAATCAAAAGAAAACACAAATCACTTTTTAAAAAGTACAAACATAAAATCACTTTATAAAACCAAAACCTAATTAAACATGACTGAAAAAGAAATACTCTGCATTTAAAATAATGAATTGAATCGTTCTTGATTAGTTGTAATACATGGGGAGCAACTTTTCCTTTTAAAATCCAAACTCCTGAATGAGTAGCTGGCCCTTTTCAATGTATCCACCACGTGTGCAAGGAGGCTACCACTGTCCCATCCCCAAAACCAAACTTTGGAGCTCCTCTTACAACACGTGCACACTGCTGTGAATATACAATGATGACAAGTCTTTTCTGAAAATAATCAAAAAGTAATCCGGACCCACGTTAATCAAATAAAGTATCTGAATAAACTGAGCCTGACTAAATTGTGAAACCTAGTTTGGGGTCAAAAATGACACTATTGTTCTGAAGCCACTTCCAAAAGAATTTCCAAAGTGTTCACTGCATAAGCAGCATGACTAAAAGCAGCACACCGACAGCCTCCTCAACTGGCCAGCTTAAAAGATACCATTTATTTAGACGTGTGTGGCCACATGGACATCCAGCAACTGCCCTCGGAATCGTCAACCACAAGCCAGGCCGGCACTGCCGTCCTCTTCACTCTTCCAGGGTCCCTCTCCACTCCCCCTTGTAATAACTTTCCTCAAGTACTCTTCCCTACGAGGGACTCCCTCTGCCCCCGCTGAACACCACCATCAACACAAGAAGGTGCCCCTACCCGGCCACCCACCCCGAGCACCGGCCCTCACCCTCCTGCAGTGCTAAGCACTCTTGTCCGGAAGCACCGAGCACCAACCACAGCTGTGCCTCTAGCTCAGCCCCGTGGCATGTCAGGGAGGCTACCGAGAGTCACAAAGGCCGAGTGTGCCCAACCTTCCCACTGACCTTTGCCTAAGGTGTACAAAGGCAATCTCAGTGAGAACCCACCAATTCCCTGAGTCAAAGCTAAAGGCAAAAGGATAAAAGCATTAGCAGATACTTTGTACATACATTTTCAAATTCCTTTTCTTTGTAAAATTTACTCTTTAATGGACATAAACTCCAGAGCAGATAAGTGGTGTTCTAAGGAAAGATTCTAGCTTAAAGGCAGTAATTTAAACTATTTTTTAAGAACTGACTCTGCCAGAACTACGATGAGCACATCATAAACATTTAATCCTCATGGCTGCAAAAGATGGTCATTTTTATAGATAGGGAAACCAGGGCTCAGAAAGAGAAAGTAGGGGGAAAGTAACTTGCCCAAGGCCACAGAGCAAGAAACAAGGAAAAGTCCAAATTCACATCCTGGTGACTGATCTCACAGCCTGCACAACGCACGGGCGCATGCACGTGTTTCCAATGTTGCCAATGTCACGACATTGCCCCATCACACTGTCTACAGAAACACGGACGTGTTTCATTTTCTTTCAGATTGTTCTATCTTTTTCTAAGACTTACACAGGTCAAATTTGTGTGTTTCCTTTGTCTAATAAAACTTTTTGACAAGTTTTTCACAAAACATTAGAATATAGGACAGATCTGGAAAGCAAAAAGTTATTTGAAGTTATATGCTGCCTGTTCATATTTTAAGTGATTTCATAAATTAAAAACAAAACTTTGAAAGGATCCATACGAAAAAAATTTAAATTTTGTTAGTGTAAACAACAGAAAAAAGGTACATAATTACACACACAGAGAAACTGCAGCAAAAATACAAGTTGTGCCAAGCAACTAAAAATGCTATTTAAATTCAGAGAAATTAGAATTAAAGTTATGATTAAAAAAAGTTTCTTAAATATTTAACAGGAACCAGTGTGAATTTTAGATTTTGTCACATTCAGATTTGACCAAGTATTAAACTCTGTCTCACTAGCATCTTTTTATAATAACTAAACAAAATGCAATTCAGTTAAAATAGGTAACAACCTTGGTTATTCAGTTTAATAAACTCCTAGCTTCCATGCAAAAGTTTAACTGAATAAGCACACACAGCTTCTTCAAAGTCAGTGATGGACTTGAATTCAACAGACAACATAAAATACAGCTTCTAAGACAAAACAGGGGAGGGCCACTCCATAAATTATCGATCAATCCCCTTGGGAATGTGTTCTCATCACAGGCAATGATTAAGTAAAACAATAATTTACAATAATACAATTCTTACTCAAAACAGCTCAAAATAGTTCCACTTTAGATCAGTTACCTTTATAACATATCTTTTAAAATGATAAGGACACCATTATTCTATTTTCATTGCTTAATTATCTGAATTAACTCTAGGACTCCCTTAGTGATACAAAATTCTACTTCTCTCAGAATTTAAGCAAAAGCAACACACTGTTCTCTAAGAAAATCACCTTATTTTCACATAGTTCTTATATCCGTATTGTTAGAGCACCCACTCTCCTTAATACGACGTGACAGCTTGCTCCCTGAAGGGAACAGCGAAGCGGCAGGTTCCCCAAGGTCAGGCAGGCAGAGAACGGAACTGAAGAGTCCCAGAAGCAGCCAGCCCTGGATGAAGCCTCCCCCACACTAATATTGTACATTTAGTACTCACAATGTTGCTGGCCAACCCCTAAGGGACCCTCGGAGGTGAGAATGCGTGAGTGTGGGTGGCGCCAGGTGGCGAGGCAGAGTTACCTCTCTGCAGTCCTTCACGATGGGCTGCACCACGCTGAGGTCCTGGTGGCTGGAGCCCATGGCGCTGCTCGTGCTTTTGTTTCTCACGTGCCCCTTTTTAAAGGGCGTCTTTCCGCCGGGCAGAGGCTCCTGCGTGGGCGACATGGGCGAGCTGGACAACACGAGTGTCTTCAAGGCAGCCACTTCAGCCTGAAGTACATCGATCTGGAAAAGAAATCAACACGCCGCGCACACTCACTGTGCTTACGACAGACGCGGCTAAACATTAGCAATTTGGTTGAAACACTTTCCTTTCAAAAATGAAATACAAGTTTAATTTGTATTTCCTGTGGAGTAACAGAAGGAAATTAAAACTGAGTTTTTTGATGTTTCCATATGGTCTGGATTCAGCTGTTATTCACAATGTCAAAGAAATTTTTTAAATTATCATAATGTCTCAAATTTAATTTATGTGAATTTTCAAAATCTTCACAATATAACAGCTTATGGTTAGTTGTAGTTCATTCCTAAAATAGTCAAATCTAATAACATTTTGGTAACTTTTTTCAGGGAATTAAGATAATAAATGTTATTAACTTTAAAATGTGATTATATAATCCTTTTGATAATGCATGTGATTCACAAAAGGCTTTGAGTCCTTCGGTTCTGATACAGACAGACCCTACAAGGTCACTACTAACTATCTACATGGCAGCTATTTTCTTCTTTAATAGTTTCTAGATCTTCTAAAATAAGCACTATTTCTACAATGGGAACAAATCCAATCAACGTGAAAGTATCTTTATAGCAGTAACCACAAACTTCTTTAAATTTTATACTATTAAAGCAGCAAAAACTTACTTTTCCCTGTGCTTCTTTCAGCTGTTTTTCTGCTGTTGCTTGCTTGACGTTTGCTTCTCTCACCATCTTGTGAGCTTCCTGGAAAAGGTAAAATCTCAAATTTTGGAAACAAAGTACTTAGCATTTGTTTTCCCTTTCACCAAGTGTCTATAACCGAAACAAAGATACACTACCAAAATTGAGCCTGAAAATAAGTATTCAGTGTCAACCACTGCAACCGCAGCTGTCATCAGACACAGCAGGAACAGGACTGGCAGCTCCCTTTGGTCCTCACACCCTGAGGTAGCCAGGCGGATCCAGCAGTCTGATCAACGCTGTGTCGAGACTGTGAATGTGACGAAGGAAAATATACGGCCCACACGTCAAATCCAACTCCTTTGTAGTTAGGTTACTGTAACTTGGTCACAATATATCTATTCATATTATTAGTCATAGCAAAGACAGAAGGGACAAGTGAAAATATTAACACGTCAATGTTGCCGTTTACAGGAACGACAGCTAGAGGCCTTGGAGCTTCCAATGAAGACATTCACAAAATGATACTAAGTGACAATTTTGCGCAGAAAAATCTAAAAAGGCAAATCAGAGGTTACCCTTTAATAAAGTCTTAACTTTTTAGCACCACAAGTATGAAACTCTAGGTATTGAATTCCTTTTTCATCACTCACTCACTCGTGACATCTCCTTCCAAGTCGCTGATACACTGCGAAAGCGACACAGTCCCTGCTCTTAGGGAACTTCCACTCTAATCATCAAATAAGGTACCTGAATAAGAATTCTGGATTTTATTCTAAGTGCAATATGAAGCCTTAGGGTTTTTTAAGGAAGAGAGTGACAGGATCTTACATTTTAAAAAGATTACTCTACTGTATGGAATAATCCCTACAAAGGAGTAAGGACGGACTGGAACAGTAGAGAGCTCGAGATAATCCCTGGGACGGAAGAACATATATTTCAGAACTTCAGTTTACGGTGTTTGGGAAGGAAGGGAAGGAAGAAGGCAGGGAGGGAGGAAACCAGCTTCAAAGGTACGTAAGGAAAGGTCTGTGGACACGCAGTGGGAGAGCGGAAGCTCCACGCTGGGCTCACATGGCGCCGCCATGGGTTCATCTGCTTTCACCTACTGTGATGAATTGCAGTTTGCGTGTGCCCAGGAATGTGAATTTACAGGTCACGTGAGTTTAAATAAGAGAAGCTTTACTACCAACGCTCTACAGTGAGATGAGATTAACCGTGAAGATCTTACATGCACAATTATGCTGGTTATCTTGTATCAAAGTCCTTACGAGATGTCAAATTTAATAGTGAGGTAAGCAGTTTTCTTTTAAAAATAACAAATGTTTCAGATTTGCTGAATTTTTCTGTGATGACTAGAGGCTGTCAACAGACCACTATTTGGCAGATATTTTCAAAATAATAAACATATCTAATCTGACCCTTCAGGATAAGTGACATTTTAACTATAAATGCAAAAGTAACTCACGCTATGAAAAGATTCTTGTTTACACGTTCAGAAATGGACTCCGTTTTCACTAACAGTGCACTATGCAACCTGGACCAAAGCGCCCATGAAGAACAATTAGAAGAGCTGCACAACATTGTTTTTAAGTGACGGTATTACAGAGCTAACGAAACAGTGAAGAAGTAGGCTCCAAGATCAGGAGGAGAAGTAAACCCAGAAAAGCGGGCTGGAACCTGGGGTGACCCTTCCCCTGGAGATGGAAGGACAGTGAGAAGGTATAACATCACGTAACTGGAGCCCAAGAGGAAACAAGAGCCAGGAGGCAGAAGCAGCATCTAAGAAGATCACGCACAGGATTTCACAAACTGACAAAAGACATCAAAAGATAGATTCAAAAGAAGTTAGAAAATGGTTCTATCAGTCTGTCATTCTGAAGCTGAAAGTGACAGAAGCGTCATCTGTACCCGGAGCCGGCAAACTTTCCACAGAGGGCCACAGAGCGGGCGGTGGGCTCTGCGAGCGTGCATCTCTGCTGCGAGTGCTCGGCTCTGCTGTGGCAAGAGCAGACACAGACACTACACACGAGAGAGCGTGGCCATTTCAATACAGTGCACGGGCACTGAAATCCAAATTTCATCTAGCTTTCTTACGTCTTCTTTTGATTTCTTTCCCCAACCATTTAAAATGTAAAAACTGATCTTAGCTCACAGGGCTGTACAAAAGTGGACACAGGCTAGTCTTGTCCTGCAGGATGCAGTTTGCAGACTTCTGATCTATACAAACATTCATAACTACACACTTACTAGCTTTGAAAACAGAATTTTTTTCCTATCTGGTTAGCAGTAATTCAAATGAAGAAGGTATTTTTTCTCTTTGTTTAAGATAATGTTTAAATTTAACATCTTCTGATTAATTTGCAAAGATAATTTGTTGGTATTAGAGAAGTCAGAAATTCACTAGAGAATTTTCTGGAAAAATCTTCACATAAATGGCTATGGACCTGAAAATTTAGTATAATGATTTAACACAGGGAAAGATG